CGGCTGCTGATTCTGAGCCACCTGCAGCGCTTGATCCGTTGATGAGCTACATGCCATGAACCATCCCACATACCACAAGTCCCCTTTCCACTTCCATGACCGTCTCCTAGTATTTTTCACCCTCATCTTCGGACACTCGCCATCCCCAAGGAGACCTACGAAAGACAACGAACCCGTTTCACCATGCACAACGAAAAAACAGGTTGTGCCTCCAGCTGATGACTTCACTTATCAACATTGATCATGCTTCGATCCACCTTTTTGTTATTGACATGTCAAGCGACACTCTCACAGTGCATTTGCATGACTCAGTTCTTTTTGAGGTGTTTTTTGCACGATTGAACTATGAATGTATGACATTTGGCCTTTGCTGTGATTCTACACTGACCGACAACCTTTCACATTACTTGACCCTTCCCTCCTTCCGCCCCTTGGCTTGCTCAAGCCTACAACTCGTGATCCTTGCATCAACGTTCCAGTTGCCACCTTCGACGAGCGATCATGGATGCGCACTGGCAGCAATATTACTGGAACCATTATTTGCTTCAACAGCAGCAACATCAGCAGCTTACCGACCCAGACACCACGGTTTCTCCTCCCACGACAACTCACCACACCTACAACCCTACTGGCACTTACGGCCCACTCACTCATGCACTCCGTACGCATCAGGCCCACCACTCTCACCCATACACGACCTCACCATACACACCGCCACCACAGCACACACCGCCACAGCAGACTCCACCGTCACAGCCGGAGTTCCCACCTCCACCGCCACCACCACTGCCCACAGCCGACCCAGTCACTCCACCGCCATCGAGCTACAAGCACAGTCCACCACCGCCACCAGCCGCCCGCACCGGCACTGCACCTGCTCCACGCCACCTCTCCCACTCCACCAACCCACGACTCTTGGAACCAAACAGAACACCATTGGGATTCCAACACCCTCCACGGCCACCAGCTCTACCGCACAACCCAACCCACACAATGGTCTCGAAAAGCAGGGGTGGCAGGGCTCCCCACCTTTGACATCTTCCCCTCTGCTCCTCCCAGAAGAGGTCAGTCCTTGGATTTCAATAAGGCTGTCCAGCCCAGGTGTGGGGCTATCCAGCCCAGATGGAAAAAGAACAACTTGTCTTCTGAAAGCCTGGCGCTGTCCAGCCCAAACGGACAGAACCAGTGCCTGTTCTAAAACCTTTGGGCTGTCCAGCCCATAATTGACAGAACCAACGTTTTTCAGAAACCTTAGGCTGTCCAGCCCAAATCAACCCCTCTTCTCCCAGACCTCAACATCTTTGAGCTAAGTGAAAGTAACGAAAACCCTGGGGGCTATCCAGCCCACATGTGACAGACAATTGGGGGTTTACCCAGCCCAAATGTGAAACAGAGTGGGGGCTGTCCAGCCCAAGTGTGAAAGCTCAACAACAAATACCGAACAAGTTTCTCCCAAGGCTCATCGATTGAGCTGGCATTGTGCTGGCTCCAGCCTTCCCACCCATCCCATCCCTGCGCTTCCCAGCTCCACCACCCATGTTCATTCCAGCCTTCATTCCTTCTCCTTTCCTTCCCCACTTTCCTTCCCACCTCCTCCCTTGCCACCTTCTCCCTTGCCACCCTCCTCTTCATCTTCTTTGCCTCCTCCCTTGCCACCCTGGCCTTCTTCTTCTTTGCCTCCTTCCTTGCCACCCTGGCCTTCTTCTTCTTTGCCTCCTCCCTTGCCACCCTCTCCCTTGCCACCTTGGCCTTTTCCTTCTTCTTTGCCTCCTCCCTTGCCTTCTTTTCCCAGGGCTTTTCCCTTGCCACCCTTGCCTTCTTCTTCTTCTCCCTTGCTGCCCTTTCCTTGTCCTTTTGCCTTTGCAACTCCTGCTTCTGTGGCAGTGCCAGACCGAAGCGACTCATCCATCTTTTCAACCAGCCACTCTACCAAGTTGAGGAACTCACCTGACCAGAGAGGAAAACCAAGTGCATAGCAAGTGTGGAAGGGCTATCCAGCCCAAAGTGTGACAGGAGTACCCAGCCCAATGAAAGGGGTATATCCAAGTGTGCAAGAGCTACCAACACCAAGTGTGGAAGGGCTATCCAGCCCAAAGTGTGACAGGGGTACTCAGCCCAATGAAGAAGGTATCCAAGTGTGAAAGGGCTATCCAGATCAAGTGTGGAAGGGCTATCCCAACCCAAAGTGTGACAGGGGTACCCAGCCCAATGAAAAGGGGTATCCAAGTGTGAAAGGGCTATCCAGCCCATGCAAAAAAGTGGCCTTGCGAGTCCAACTCCTTCCATACCTTGAAGAGGAAGCTCCTGCCAGACTCCATGCTGCCCCTGCTGAGCCCGCTTTGCCTTTCTCCTTCAAGGCACAGCTTCCCAAGCCACTCACCGAAGCCCTGGGCCAAAACGAAGGCAAGAGAGTGTTTGGGCTGTCCAGCCCCAATGGAAAAAGAACAACCTGCCTTCTGAAACCCTGGGCTGTCCAGCCCATAATTGACAGAACCATCCCCTATTCTAAAACCTCAGGAAAACTAAGTGCATAGGGGTGTCCAGCCCAAGTGTGACAAGCCCAGGTGTGAAAGGGGGCAGCTGTGGAAGGGCTTTCCAGCCCAACAAATAATATTTGCCAAGGCACCATGTCTGGGTGCCAAAGCGTTTGTATGGACCGCATTTGGTCGCGCCACACATTGGCAGGCTCACCTCCCCTGTCCACGCCATGAGGCTGGTTCCCTTTGCCAGCAAACTGTTCACCTATCATGCTGTTGGTTGGGAGCCTAAGAGCCAGCTTTGAGCCTGTGCTGCTGGTGGTGGTGGCTTTACCCCCCAGTGAAAGGGCTGTCCAGCCCAAGTGAACGGGGTATCCAGCCCAAGTGGGAAAAAGGCTACCCTGCCCAAGTGTGTACAAGGCTGTCCAGCCCAACTTTTTTGGGCTATCCAGCCCAACTACCTAGGGCTATCTAGCCCACAAGCTTACCCAAATTGTTTCAACTCTTCTTTTTATTGCTCACCTCCATGAGGGTATGTGCTGGGCTAGCCCCCTACTTTTTCACAGCTTGGCTTTTCCAAGCCTTCACTTCGCCTACATTTTCCCTGCTCTAAACATCTTCAGAGCTTCCTTGGCCAACTTGTTGTTGTGCTCCTTGCCTTTGTGGGAAAGAAGCTGCATAACCTGCCTCCCCCCTGGCACCCTCAAGGCCACAGCACCAGCCTTGTAGGTCATGAAATTCAAGGCCTGGTCTCCCATCACCCAGTCATCTGGCAACCTTTCCTCTTGACAGGCAGGCTTCTTACCCAACTTCTTTGAAGCAGCAGGTCTGGCCTCAGGCTTCTTACCCAACTTCTTTTCAGAAGCAGCAGGTCTGGCCATAGTCTGCCTGAGGGCCCTCTTCCTGGTAGGCACAGGCATCACATTCTCTGCTTCCCCCAGCAAAGAATCTTGGGTTGCAGGGACTTCAAACTCCTTCAAGAAATCATCTGTCGCAATGCTCTTGGCAGGAGACACCACCTTGCCCAATGGCAAATCATTGGTCCACAGTGCTTTAGGGCTATCCAGCCCATATGGGCAATGCAGGGCTATGAAGCCCAAAAGCTTTTTAAGCGCCCACCTTCTTGCCAACCTAGTGCTTTAGGGCTATCCAGCCCATATTGGCAATGCAGGGCTATCCAGCCCAAAAGCTTTTTTAGCGCCCACCTTCTTGCCAACCTTCCTGGGAGAGGAACCTTGCCCTGCAGGTTCATTGAAGAAGGCCCAAATCTCTTCCAGCTTTTCCAGCTGGAAATGGCTGAGCTTCTTCCCAGCCTCCAGGTATTTGGCTTTATCCCTGCCAATTCTCCTGCAATGGTTGCGCACCACCAGCAAAGCATCAGCAAGTGTCTTCCATAGTGTTCCCTGCATTGACAGTGGGAAAGAGTCCTTGATGCCTGGAAAATCCTTCAGGATCTGCTTGAGCACCTCTGACAGGTCACTGTACTTGAACTGGAGGGAGGGCTCAACCTTGCACAGGCTCTTTATCAAAGGCAGCAGGTCCACCAAATCCTGGCCCACGACAGCCTGTTGCCTTTCCAGGTTGAGGTATTTGCCCAAAGCGAAAGCACCTTGCAGGCCAACAGCCTTCACATGGCAAACCAAACTGTCAGCTAAGTGGTTCAGGTCCACCTCTGGGACTTTCTCCCTTCTGGCACCACCCTTTGGCATTTTGAGCAAGACCTTTGCACATATTGCTTATGGGGGGCCTTTCCAGACCTTGGATTGTGGAGGGGCTCTCCAGCCCATGGATTGTCCAGCCCATGGATTGTGGAAGGGGCTCTAGCCCATGCCTATCCAGCCCATACGTGGACATGTTTTGTGGGTGTGTCAGCAAAGTTAGCTAGCTTGAGTATAGATAGTCCTTGGAAGATTCAAAAATTCAATTGAATTTTTCAATCGAATTTTCAATCGTGTTTTCAATAGAAAAAACATATTTTTCAATCGAGAAATCAATCGAACCTAGAAGTTCTGCTATTGAATTTTGTTTGAAAAAATCAATCTTCAATCGTATATTGAAAAAGAGAAAAATACAATATTGCAATTGAATTTTTTCAATCCAGGATGCTTTGGGTCAATAATGCACTTTCATTCGGGCAGCATAACAAACATTATCAATAGTGTTTCGGGAAGGCCACATGGCAAACACACATGATGTTAATAATGTTTCCTCACTCGGGCAGCATAGCTGACATCGCCAATGGTGTGTTAATTTGCTATCGGTTTTAAGTAAACAAATTCAAAAGCAGTACATTCTAGAGAAAAAAACTTCCTTCCCCCAAGCTATAGAGCTTAATGAGCGATCTGGCAAGTGTAGTGGCTTACGCGAACTGAGACAACGCCTCAGCTGCGGTAGTTTGTTTGCCGTCCTTTCTGCCGAGATGTCAACCTTTTTCATTGTGAGACAGAGCAAGTCTAGACTCTAGACCTTCTGCCTTTGGTTCAGGCAGCAGTTGATTGTTGCTCTTGCGTGCCTTGCCTGCAGGTTTACTGTAATGCAATCAAAACTTCCTGGAGAACCAGCCAGTGGGCGTCAGGAGCAGCTTTTGATTGTTGGTTTGTTCCAATTTGGGCGTGCTCAGCAGGTCGACATCCAGTGATGCGCATTGAACGAGTGGGTGTCGAGATGATTCAGAGTTGGTGGCAGTCTGATGGAAAATTGAATGAGTCCGTGGGAGCACTTCCGCATGTGCCAAATATGTCAGTAGCAAAAGTTGAGGCCTTAGGAGCAAGGACGCTACTAGGGACTCCTGGCATCGCTACTAGGAGCAAGGACACTACTAGGGGCTCCTGGCATCGCTACTAGGAGCAAGGACGCTACTAGGGGCTCCTGGCATCGCTAGGAGCAAGGACGCTACTAGGGGCTCCTGGCATCGCTACTACGAGGAAGGACGCTACTAGCAGCTCCTGGCATCGCTACTAGGGGCTCCTGGCATCGCTACTAGGAGCAAGGACGCTACTAGCAGCTCCTGGCATCGCTACTAGGGGCTCCTGGCATCGCTA